AAAAAAAAAAAAACCAACCAACAAATTATTTTGCTAAGGTAGGAATATACCAACACACCGGTCACACAGATGTTGACAGCAACAGTTCAAAACAGGGTCACTCACAGGGCGAAGCACAAGGAGCACAGGGCGGCTGCTGCTGGGGGTGTGCAAGGGCTGCTGCACGGCGGGGGCTGGGGAAAAGCACAATATCAAACTCAGCCACTGTCACTCCTATCTAACTGCAGCTGATGGGTAACCAGACACTGCTGAAAGGAAGAGTGGGTTGGTTTAGAAATAACTTCTTGATAGCGTTTGGGTATTTAAGGAAAAGTACTGTCACGGTGTATATATATAGGATGCTAGGATGTTGTGTTTCAGGATGCCTAGCTTTGCAGAACCAGTGCAGTTAGTTTGCTAGTAAGCTGGTGCATGTAGGCATGGATTTGCAGTCCTCCAAGAGGTGACAACACTGTGACATACTCAGCTCAGGATGAAATATGCAGCTGCCTGTGCCAGTCACTGCACGTTGTAAGGAGAGCTGCAGGGTCTTACAGCACGCCTAAGTGGAGCTAAGGAACTCAGTTATTTTAAATTATCTCAAGATAAACAAAAATACTGTAGTTTATGTAGCCTCGTGTGAGCTTTAGAAAATCATAAAAGCACAAAGAGCTGAGTTTTTATAGCAAAAGACATCAAACCGTGACTTAGCCTTCAGTTAGCCTCAAAGCCCCACCCCACAGGGGATGGTCACTGTCTGTGGGTGAGGAAGACTCAGTCACTTACTTTTACATGCAAAAATGACAGAATTATATTGTTCAGCTCAGATAATTAGCGTTCTCCTGTTTTCTTTGAAAGTTTGATTTTACAAATAAAGCAATTAGTTTATTAGATGGGGAGGCTGCTGAGCAGACAGACCAGTCACGTAAGGTGACTTTCTCCTTCTCTCCTGTTGAAACGTGTCTGCTGACTCCCTCACTCAAGCCTTTCCATAGGACAAGAAATCCCTGGAGAAGAGAAAGCTCCAGGGAGACCTTATAGCAGCCTTCCAGTAGTTGAAAAGGAAAGCTGGGGAGGGGCTTTTCATAAAAAAGATAGCAATAGGACAAGGGGTAATGGTTTTAAACTGGGAGAGGGGAGATTTAGGTCAGATATTAGGAAGAAATTCTTCACTCTATGGGTGGTGCGGGAGGTTTTTAAGGCCAGGTTGGACAAGGTTTTGTGCAACCTGGTCTAGTGGTAGGGTTCCCTGCTCATGGCAGGGAGTTGGAACTTGATGATCTTTAAGGTCCCTTCCAACCTTAATGATTATATAATTCTAATATGCAAAAGAGGAGAGTGGGACAAGCAAACTCCCCTGTTGTCTGCAACTGGCAAAGGCTGCTTTGTATCTCAAAAACCAAGGGGAATTTTTTTTTCCAGAGGTTGAAGGAGAACTTGGATCAGTTATTTCCAATTTCTGGGAAAAAAAAAAGTATCTTTAAAAGAGTAATGCATTAGTGGATGGTATGGAACAATTATTCTGAAGTAATGCTAGTGATTATACGTCACAATAAGATTTAATAGCTGAAATGTACTGACACAGAAAATTAAAGTCAAATATTGAATATATTAATACACACAAAGCTGTGTTTGCATTTTGAAATGAAACTGGTTTTGCTGTGCCTTAATTTCAAATATAAGCCTTACAATATCCATAGCCTCTGTTATAAATTAAACAATTTCTAAACAATACTTGTCAACATTCAAATCTCAATAAACTTTGGCAGCTCTTTGGTAAATACTTATAAGTATCAATTAATAAAACAGTAAAAAGGGAGTGAGAAGCCTACCAGCAGGGAGCCTCTTTTTTTGAAATTCCACAAAGGGGAACAGAAATGAGAGAGCTCCCTAAGCAAAAACTATTTCCAAGATTGGTATATTTTAATGAGATCAGTAGCTCATCCTTCTTTTGTCTGTCTATTCAAATACTATTACATTGGGATTTTAATACGTTTCGGACAATATTTTGTGCTCTGCCATATATACATATTCAAAATTTATACACAAACAATAGTGGCTGTTTACGAGTATAGTTAAGTTTCAGTGCATTTGACAATTAATTATTGCACACAGAATAATCTCAAATGCCCAATTATTCTACTGGATAAATGTAGCAACAAATATAACCTCTTATATTTTTTAACACCTATCTTTCTGTAAAATCTTGTGTTGGTGACACCTTAGGTGCCAAAGAAGTGAAAGGATCTGCGGGGGGTGTGTTGCTGGTTATTCTTGATGGTATAGGAGGTGCAGGTGCTCTTCTTGCTGGCATTGTATAGAAGCAATCA